GGCTGCAGTGTTGGGGAGTCTACATATTCTCCTGAAAGTTGTTGGTGGGTTCGACTAGGCAGCGTTTCCTAGGAGAATTCCCATTCGCTGTCTGGGCTGCATGTAGAGGGGGCAAGGGCCCTGAGCTGATGATGAGCCTTATCAGCCTGACTGTGCCAAGATCACCCGAACCCTCTCTGCTGCATTGGATCTTAATCTGTAAAATATAATAATAAAAATAAGTATATGGGGTTATTTTGAATGCTGACCAAGCTCAAGAACAGATGCCTCTGTAATATAATATAGGTAAAGTATGGTATTCTGAACTAGAAAATAAGACATATGAAAAAGTTAACAGAGAAGAAAAGTTGTTTTGCTCCTCTGTGTCGATTATGGCATATCGTTGGGTGGGGTGGGGGGTGGGGGGATTGTTGAGTGAAGCTCGTCTTATATGATCATGGAAAGAGTTTGGTCGCCTATACATTAACAGAGTCGGAGGGTTGTGCTTCGAAGTGTTCGATCGTCTCGCCAAAGACCTGGGTTTGATATTGCTGGAATATTGCTAAAAGCAGTGTAAAATCAGTTATCACTCACTCAGGAATTACTGCCAATAATAAGATGATGGATGTAACACCTTGACGTTGTTCTGATGCTGGTGGGCCCTTTACTCACTTGTTACAAGAAAGTCGTTGTACAAACAAACAGTGGGCACATGTTTCACAATGCCTGTATTCTGGCCTTGACGCAAAGGTCATGGCTGAAGAAATTCAAATAGGCCCCACGTGTCTGAAGGAAGATATCAAGGTCGTTATGGAGATTTGACGGGATCATGTTGGAATTGGCACAGTGATTTGCACTTAAGCTGAAGAGAATTGAAACCATCACACAATGGCGTTGGTGCAATTAGGTGAAATCCATTGTCACAGTAAACGAACACCACATCCGTACGGTGTAAATAATTTTATTGGACTGCCACATACGCGGCTTCAGATTGTATTGAATCTTGCCGAGACATCAACTCTTGTACATGAGACTGATTCGTCACTTAGGCTTAAGTATGCGACTATTGAATAACGCATGGACGTTGAGTTGAAGCAGTTTTCTAAATAATAAAACAATTGGATTGTGATGACATGATTGGTTTCCAGACGGGAAAACATAAAAATATTCCCCAGCTGATCAGTCATACATTTTATGAGTCTCTGTAGATAGAAACATTGCAAAGAAGACGGAATGAAATGTTTCATGAGAGGCGAAATGTGTTTAGTGGGTCTATGCTAAAACCAGTTGTACTTCCAACTTAAAACAAGTCATTAGACCCGCGAGAGTTCTCATGATGTGGCGGGTTTCTTAGATATGACTGATACTTCATAACAAAGGTACTGGACACGAAAGTGAGAGTTGTCATTGAAGTTTTGCCATGAAATATGCTTGATGGTGTGCTTTACAGCACGAGGGAGACACACAGGAGTTTCGTCCATATCTGTTTTAAGCAGATATACGTGGGTAAACCGACTGTGGCCAATACGACATCGTCGCAAAATGATTTTGTCACGTCAATTCATAGGGGAGGGCATGTGCCCATTGCGCGGTTGTTAGCATTTTGTTTGATTGGTTGTTGTTTAACGCCGCACTCAGCAATTTCCCAGCTCTATGACGGCGGTCTGGTAATAATCGAGTCTCGACCAGACAATACAGTGATTCATATCATTAGCATCGACCTAAGCAACAGGAATAGGGAGACGTGCACCAAAGGTAGTAAGTTTGACCCCCGACCCTGTTATTCGCCTCTTACAGCAAGCATGTGTTGCTGAAGGCCAAGTCTCTCTCTCTCTCTCTCTCTCTCTCTCTCTCTCTCTCTCTCTCTCTCTCTCTCTCTCTCTCTCTCTCTCTCACACACACACACACTCACACACACACACACACACACACACACTAGTGATTAAAGCGTCTGCTCGTCAAGCTGAAGACGCGGGTTCGATTCCTCACATGTGTAGATTGTGTGAAGCCCATTGTTGGTGTTCCCGCGCCGTGATATTGCTCGAATATTGCTAAAAACCAAGTAAAACCATACTCACCCACTCCATTCAGACACACTGGAATCGAAAACATAAATGGCAATATAGCCTTTTTTACTAAATACGTTAATTTGTGGAATTCATTACGTCGCAATGTCAATATTGTAATGTACAGAAGGTTATGTTTCAAATTAGCAAAGGTAGTGATTCAGTGAATGAGCACGGGGCACTCTCCTTCGCTATATCGTGATAACCGCTTTCCATATTCACTCTATGTTCCCATGCTGCTAATCAGATGAGGATATAATGCGAGTCGAGGGAACGCTTTAACCATGACGCTTCCCCTAACGCTCCTTAATAACAGCAACAGTTAACACAGAGTTTTTGCTGACGTTTGTCGATTATGTATTGAAAATTGTACAGCTACTCATCTGTTTCTGAAACCGGTTCAAACAGGCAACATATTTAGTCACAAATACGTTTGATTGTGATTATAATCATAACCCTATACTTATTGTTATTATAACATTAGTCATAAATGCATTGTTTTCAGCGTATGGGGTGAGTACGTGAGTTAAAAGATTACGTCACATCGGCAATATTTCAGCCATATCGACAAAACAAAAAAGGTCATAGATGCGAAAAAATATATTCATACTTTTAAAATGCTGCCATCACAGGACAGTAGGGCAACTAGATTATCAAAGATTATTGTTAGAACTAGTTTGAGATAATTTTAAAACGCTAAGTTATTATTCTTCAACAACACAATATTTATTTATCAGGCTACAGATCCCAAGCAACCAAAGTTAGGCCACCATTTCAACTCTTCTGACTGTAATCAATGAATCTCGTCCACCACAGGAACAATTCCGAAGTCTTTTTAGACTTATTTTTCAGTCCGTATATATTTTGAAGCAAGACGGATTATAAAGTTGCACACTTAACGCGATAATGAGGCAGTTCGACTGGAGATAGATTCACAGCTTTCGTTTCAACACATAAAATCAATGTCTGTTAAAGGTCAAAGTTATTAGCAGCCCCCTTGACGCAGGTGATAATTGGTAAATTACAGATTGATTCCCGGCCAGTTTCCTAGACCTAGAATGCCACGAAATGTCACAAATTTTTATAGCTTCAAGGTGACGTATCAGAGTCGCTGAGTGGCCCCGCTTGACGACTGATAATCAGGAAACGATTACTGACAAGTTGGCCATCCGAGTCGGACGCCATGTTGCGTTAAAATACATTGGCGCTACATGTGTTCTTCTGCTCCCGGTGGCAAAGGACCATGTCATAAGTGGCGGTGCCGACTCGCGTTCCGTGGTTGGTTTGCTCTCTAACGCCGCACTCAGCAGTATTCCAGCCATATGGCGGGGGTCTGTAAATAATCGAATCTGGACCAGACAATCCAGTGATCAACATCATGAGCATCAACCAACGAAACTGGGATACGATGACATGTGTCAACCAAGTCAGCAAGCCTGACCACCCGATCCCGTTAGTCGCCTCATACGAGTGAGTGAGTGCGTTAGTTTTACGCCGCACTCAGCAATATTCCAGCTATATGGCGGCGGTCTGTAAGTAATCGAGTCTGGACCAGACAGTCAAGTGATCAACAGCATGAGCATCGATCTGCGCAATTCGGAACCGATGACATGTGTCAACCAAGCCAGCGAGCCTGACCACCCGATCCCGTTAGTCGCCTCTTACGACATCCATGGGTTACAGAAGACCAATTCTAACCCGGATCCGGAGAGCACGCCAAATGCCTGTGATCGTGAATTCGAATCCGGAGTAGCCATGAAAATTGTAAATCTATATTTAATAATAATGCTAAGTTTTGCGCCTAGAATCCAACGCGATGCTGCTCTCTGGCGCTATATTATTACCCAGACGGAATTGTACTTTCAAAGCTGCTACAAGCGTTTCGCGCGACCGTATAGGTCCGTACATCCGCTTCTCAGGTACCAATTCTTGATCAGCTGGGTGGACTGAGTGCAATGTGGACGAGGTGCCTTGCCCAGGGACACAACACAGTATGAGACCCAGGTCACAAATTTTGGTGTCTCAACCGGGATTCGAACCAAGGCCTTTGGCGTGATAGGCCGGCATGCTAACCACTACGCCACTGTGCTCCACAGTCTTCGTTGTAAGGATCACACGAAGTTTGCGGCAGCCATCCTATAGATTTTCGAGTTTTCGTGCTTAGAGGATTGCGTAAATTAGGATGGCATTTTCTACGATATACAGTATTGGTGGTGAGATATTTTTACCCTTTCAGTATGTGAAAAACGTGCGTTGTCAATAACTTTCCATGAGTTGAGCTCTCATATATGAAACGCAAGTCAATGGCGCACTACCCACCCTGAAAACAATCCATAAAAACCTATCCAGCTGCTGATTTTGAATGAATTGTGTTTAACGCCATTTTAAACAGTATTTCAATTGTATCATCTTAAAGTAGAGATAGTAATACAGATCTTTAAAACTACAACTTCGGTAAAACAAAGCAGCAAGGGTATGGCAGAAGCACAATCAGGTTGAAATTTTGAATCGAAAACGTTCTTAGAATATTGTCAGGCTAAGGGAGAAGTGTCACACTAACGTATTTTTAATTGCACCAGAAAATGACCCATATTCAATGTCTTTGCAGGTGTTTGGAATCGAAAACATTCTTAGAATATTGGCAGGCTAAGGGAGAAGTGTCACACTAACGTATTGTTAATTGCACCAGAAAATCACCCATATTCAATGTCTTTGCAGGTGTTTGGAATCGAAAACATTCTTAGAATATTGGCAGGCTAAGGGAGAAGTGTCACACTAACGTATTTTTAATTGCACCAGAAAATCACCCATATTCAATGTATTTGCAGGTGTTTTGAATCGAAAACGTTCCTAGAATATTGTCAGGCTAAGGGACAAGTGTCACACATATGTATTTTTGATTGCACCAGAAAATGAACATTAATGAAATGTAACTCATATTCCATGTCTTTGCAGGTGTTCGATGCACTAATCATCCTTGCGTCCTTCATTGTCGATCTGGTGTTCCTCAAGGGGCTTGCAGACTTTGCTATTGATGACTCCATATTTATACTCGCCTTCCTCCTTCCCTGGAGAGTTATACGAGTCGTAAATAGTAAGTTATCTCCCTTGATCTTAACGCTTGTTGCAATGACTAGGATGCTATCTGAACGAAGGTCATTAATGATGAAGTGCGGTGTACGAGTGCAGGTGGGATTGTAAGGTGGGGGATAGGCGTGGGCGTGTGTGTGTGTGTGGGGGGGGGGTGGGGTGAGGGTGTGTGTGTGTCAAAGGTCTTGGCAACGTAACTACATTTAGCTAAGTCACCATTTTTAGTAATAGTTGTGATAAATGTTTGTGACGCCACCTTGGTTTTGCCAATTTATTTATTCCCCTCCCACCATCCTTTATCTCAACCATACCGCCCATCCACCAGCCACTATCAACAGACATACGCAGACACTGTGATCACAATTCGATACACTTCTATTCAGGACTTCCAAATTTATAGCATATTAGGAAATCGAGTCGGTAAGGTCGATTAGAAGCCGGTTGCTAATCCACACTGGAACATGAAAACCTTCCTTTGAGACCAGTCCCACGTTTACTTCTTCATCCGATACTACAGCATCCCCATGGCAATAAACAACCTTGGGAAAAAGCACGGATTTATTTTTAACTCAACACGGACAATAATGTTGGAGGAGAGTACATGTCATCCGATGTATCGATTTTGACTTGAGGAATCGCATCACTATCTTCGAGTGAGTTTACGCTGCCTGTGGCGAAGGAGACTAGCCATTACTACCAGGATAGCTGATGCCGGAGATCCCGGTCAGAACGAGATGGCCTTCGCTGTCTGATACGACGCTGGAAACATTTTCTCTCAGGGGCAGTAGGGTTAATTATATCACGCGTTCCGCCACGCATTATATTGCTGTCGTGGAACTTTGCAAATAGTTTTCGAATGAGGACACCGTGTAGTTGTTATTACTTCATATTATTTCCATCCTGTGTTCTAATTTGTTATTTTCAGCTTGATCACGGAGTAATATTCTTCCTCATATAGCCATCCAATAGAATCTGAGTGTACAAAGTTTATACACTGTCACGCATAGACATCTTGTAGAATCTAAGTGTACAAAGTTTATACACTGTCACCTCAAGACATTCAGCAAAAGCTGAGTGTATAAAGTTTATACACTACCACTACCACATATAGCCATCCTGCAGAATCGGAGTGTACAAAGTTTATACTCTGCCTAACAAAGCCATCCGTTGGTTGGTTGTTGTTAACGCCGCACTCAACAATGTTACAGCTATATGGCGGCGGTCTGTAAATAATTCGAGTACGTTCCAGACAATCCAGCGATCAACTGCCATCAATCTACGCAATTGGGATACGATGACATGTGTCAACTAAGTCAGCGAATCTAACCACTCAATGCCGTTAGTCGCCTCTTACGACAAGCATGGGTTTTTGAAGACCAATTCTAACCCGGAGGGGCGGTGGGGTAGCCCAGTGGTCAAAGCGTTGGCTCGTCACGCCTAAGATCCCGGGTTCGAATTCCCACAGGGGTACAATGTGTGAAGCTCATTTCTGGTGTCCCCCGCCGTGATGTTGCTGGAATATTGCTAAAAGCGGCGTAAAACCAAACTCAGTCAGTCTAACCCGGATCTTCACGGGTTCTACCATACAAATCTTATACCCTACCATGTATCGCGATCCCGCAGAATCTGGCTGTAAAAAACTTATACACTGCACCTGATTTATGTCGTGCAAGACGATGGTATATCATGATAATTGCCACTCATTGATAGCTGCTTTTACTTTTGTCTAAACAGCTTTTATCGAAGTAGACAATATTGAACAACCCAAAGCAGGTTCCTTTGTGTGGACTCTCGCTTTTGCCATTTCCATTTCATTGCTGTTCAATTTAAACATTCACCTCAGCCGCTGAAACTTGTATCCTTGCACTTGGCCATCTTGAATTTCAGCATGCTTAGTTTTTATAATAACAACATAGCAGTTTGTATCAAAGTGGGTTCGGCACAGTAAAGATGGTTTGATTCAACACCAGCCAAGGTCCATCATGATCACTCTTTGATTCTTACATTGACTCTTAGATTATCAACATCTTTGTCTGTCTATGCATTGTAAAATGGGCATGTGGCCTGATTTACCGTAATAATCTACTACTACTACTACTACTACTACTACTACTACTACTACTACTACTACTACTGCTGCTGCTACTGCTACTACTACTACTACTACTACTACTACTACTACTACTACTACTACTTAGATTATGGGTTCGAATCCCGGATGGGACTCAACCCAACAAAAGTACTACAATCTGTACTTTACTCAGAAAGTGTAATCTTGAATATAACATGTATTATACGAGAGTGTTGTTGAAATCTCATTCAGGAGTCTATATATTTTCACTGATGAATCTATTTTAAAGAGAAAATGTCATGTGCTTAAACTCTACTGTACTGTAGACTCAAATGCACTGCATGACAGTATATTGCCTCAACAACATTACGTGCATAATATCGATACCACACATACACAACGCCCGTACAATATTGTTTGGGGTCACCCTTTTCATTGCATAAAGAGTCCTGTTCTCCTGATGAAGAGCAGTGAATCCATAAATCTCTCCTGTGGCACTGTGTTGGCCTGTCACGTTGGTGCTTGCGGGTGAATACGTTGATGCAATCTCCCCCATTCCAGCGATTAAAATCACCAAGATGATTATCTGGTGACGAAACTAAATTAGAACTGCCAATTCAATAAGTAATTTTTCATGTTTATCACAAGATTAAAAAACCAGACGTCCACGTTAATTTTGAAGCAACAGGGAGTGTTGCTAGGACCTTGGTATCCGTGAGCCATCAGCAGCGAGTGGGAGAGTTGGGTCGCCCCATTCGCCTGCACATCAAACGGAACTGCATCCATACACCAGGATGACACACTGGAGGCTACTCTCCAATTAGCCAGTGTTTCCACTTGGATGAGTTCTGTAGACTCTCCCAAGAGGAGAGGCAGTCAAACGCCATTAGGCCTAGCATAAGCTGGAAGACTCTTCCGTCTTCTGGCGCCCTCTCCAACAAGTCATGTATGCAGGACTCGAGACGGGACTTCCTCGGGAAAGGGATTGTATTAAAAGGGAGAGTTGAACCCATTTGTTTGGTCTGGAAATTAAATGGTGATTTTGCAGATGAGATGCGATACCTTTGCGTCATTATGTTTGGGATGTCTGATGCTGAGAGAACAGATAGACTAAGTATGTTAAAAGTCAGAGATAAAGCTACCTCCTTGTAGCTGCCAGTCTGTCTGTTGAGACAACTACGAAGCTGCTTTAGACACACATTTGGTCTCCGAAAAAAGTGACACACACTGTATAAGATTAAAAATGGACGCGGGAATAATTCTATCTTAATTACAGACAAAAAGTTGGTCGCTTTTTAAAATATAATCTGCAGGGTCTGAGAGACGACCTATCCGTTGTTCATATCTGGCGGAATACACCGTGAATATGAGATTTACAAAGCAAATTAGAAAATACCAAATGCTACTTTGTTCAAAAACACTGGCAGATAAAAGGATATCAATTTCATACAATAATAGCCTTATTTTTATCGTTCCAACCGACCATTAAATAACGTCAAAATATTTTGTTTCGTACGACACCATCAGCCCATTTTGGTGTCCGATACTGATCACACCCACACACATGAGACCATTCCCTTGGATGAAACGTTCCTTATAAACTTGTATATTGCCGTTGTATGATAATCTGTTTTGGAGGAAACTTTATTATATTATTAAGCATCTTGTGGAGGCTCATTAAATACCAAAACACGGTCAAAACATGGATAAAACATAGATTATGTCTCTATTAAAGAGAAAATACTTTTAGGAGACAGTGAAATGAAAATTTCTCTCAGTTTGACACAGAAGGTCGGTTTGACCCTATATTTCATGAGTGCCGGGAGTGAAATTGATTTGCGAAGTTCATTTAGTTCAAAGTTGATTGTGCTCAAAACAAATGCGTTTTTATAACATTGTCGGGCAGACATGATCAGCTTTGTCATTTTTACGTGAGTTAATTGCAGTTTAACCCAGGACTATCAGATTCGATATATTAACATCATTGAATTCGTGTCATGTTCGTGTTGGTGTAGCAATAATGTTAGTAATGGGGCGCCCATTCTGAAAATGAAAGTTGTAGAATTAGGTTTCATACTTTTTAGCTGACACAGTTATGATTGAAGGGGACGTTAAGCCATCAAAATTGTGTTACATCGTCTTCGGATCGTAATTGGCTTATTGTAGAACGTTCAGTTACGAGTTCAGGGATGGGTAAATATGAAACAACCACAGCAAAATATACTGATTAAAAGAAAGTACACATCGACCGGCACTGCTAATACACAGAAAACGAGAAATTGGAAATGCATTTTGAAAATGCAATAAATTTAATGACAAACCATTTGCAAACACATCGTGCATGTAACTATCCCTTTTGTAAGGGAAAACGTAACGAAAGCGAATGCTTCGATCTATAGCACCTCGGTTAAGACATCAGTAATCTTGTATGACCTTCTCGGACAAGCCTTCATGACGTCACGGATGACATGATTGGGTGTGCGGTCCGACTCCTCGAATCTGGTACTTTCCATTGGAGAGGAGTCGGGCGACGATTACCTTAGCAGTGTGACGTCCTACTAGCATCAAACTGACTGGAAACCATAGTGCCACAAGAGATGTTAATGTATACCTTGCTCTTACTTAGGCCTCAAAAGCTTTAATGGCGATCCCAAACGGGTTTGGGAATGTATGTTATCTGCATTATGGATGTGAATTGTATTGGTTTCGGGTAAAATCATGAAATCATTTATTCAGAATCATAGTAACTGTTCAAAGTATTTAAGTTTGTGAGTGAGTTTAGTTTTACGCCGTACTCAGCAATATTCCAGCTCTATGGCGGCGTTCTGTAAATAATCGAGTCTGGGCCAGACAATCCAGGGATCAATAGTTTGAGTATCGATCTGCGCAACTGGGAACCGTTGACATGTGTCAACCAAGCCAGCGAGCCTGACCACCCGATCCCGTCAGTCGCCTCTTACGACAAGCATGGGTTACTGAAGGTTCATTCTAACCCAGACCTTCACGGGTCCTTTAAGTTTGTGGCACTGACTGGCAGTCCTGCAGTTTGTCACCGTTGTAAATCTCCATTCGGAATGTCACTGGTTGCTAATCATCACGAAGTGCTGGTTTACAGTGGTTGTACTCCACGGTTGTATCTCCTTGCCTATTATAGCGTTTTATGTATGTGCTCATTCCTCTATTACCAGGCCTGCTGGTAGCTGTGATCGACCACGAGCACGTCAAATTACGGCTGCTGTACAGTCGGAAGAAGAAATTGGACAAGACTGTCGAGAATCTCCGGAACGAGGTTGACGAACTGAAGGTTGGTTAAAAAAGCGGTGTCATGTTACTTGAGGCTTAGGCAACTCTTTACATTTCAACACAAATCATCTGGACGGTATGTCATGGAATGTACAGAAGATATTATTTATGTGAACTTAAAGACATCATTTTGGCTCACTTGTCTCACATGCTAAATGATAAAGCTAACAACGCACCATTGTGGGTCAGTTGGAAGTGAGTTTGTCAAGACTAGGGTTCTGTATTGTTTCAAGGTTTTCTTGACACCATTTCAGAAGAACTTTTTGTGAAGTTCTGACATGAAAAGGTATAAACAGTATCATTTACAGTATTAGACCTGTCTTAATTTCAGTCAGTAGAAAACCAGAGCACCAGATAACCTGATTTGTTCTCAGATAAGCCAGGAGCTGTTCTCATATTGGATCCAGTTCGTGTTGCTCTAATTTTTCATGTCCTTGTATTGAAATATTCATTATCTCGGTTATAACCGTATTCTGTATTTCTTCAGGGTCTACTTCAAGATGTTCGGAGTTTTTGTGTAAAAGAAGGATTAGAAGAATGGAAGCTTGATAATCTCTTGGGTAAGTTAAAACTATATACAGTGTATTATCACAATGGAATATTCCATCTGTGCATTAGTAGTATGTCCAGTGTGTCTCCTCAAGTTTCTTTTTAAAATGACAGTGTAACAAAACATATTTTCTTTGTTGAGTGGCATTTTAGAACTTGGGAAGTATAATATAGAACAAACTTTATGGATAACAACTTCTTTTTATTCATTCCTGCTTGACAACGGTACAAGAATTTGTACATATTTTGTACATATTTTCGTATTCACAAAATATAAAGAATGTATTCAACAATTCAAATTATATTTCAGCAAAGATAGCTGAACAATTTGGACAGTGAAAGTTAACTCGGCTTTTATAATCTGGACATTCAAAGCAAGTTTTAAAACCGAGCTATACACCGGATAGAACCAAACAATACCAACCGACATGTTTCAAAAGGCTTGCACGTTGATAAGACACTTTGCAAGACGTGCTTAGAAGAACTTAACATACCTGTCTAATTTGTGGTGGTTGTATTTCATCCTGAAACATCCCCGTGTAATAAAGAAAGATGGAAGCTCTACATCATCCTTACTACTGCTCGTTAATGCCAAGCTGCTGCAGGAGCCCCATCAGAAACCGTTCATCCAAACTTCCTAATACGATATTTACATTTGAAGCTCCTTTTACTTCAAAGTTTCCGTTTTTCATTTCGAGATAATGGGAACGCGTCATCAGTTTGAAACTGTACGTTGCCTCGTTAGAGACACCAGAGTCACTTTGGATACAATTGATTTGTTAAATTTGAACCAGATACCTACAAAACCGGTTTATCGATCCTGTGAGTCGCGGCAACGCCAACTCAATTTTGCGGTATCTTCACATTCCACTTATTACGTAACCAAACATCAGGATATTTAAGTCGATTAGGCTTTTAAAGCACCCACGAACGCCCATAAAACACCTGCCTTGCACATTTATTGGGCTTTAAAAGCCTTTGGGTATTGGAGCTGATGTTTCTCTTCCGATAATTCTCTTGCTAAGGCGTTCTAAAGCATTGGAATGGAATTACCCTTTACAGTGGGTGATTGCTCTTTGGGTTAATGCATTTAAATGCTTAGGCTTGTCAATGACATTAGTAGGTCTTGGTACCATGCGGACCTCTGGGTGTTTTGTCTTAACGCAAAACATTAACATTAGTTAAAACTAATTGGTAATAACACCAGTTCAGATCAGCGACCTCTATATTTCAAGTTTGTATTTTTATTTTTCTAATCGTTATTTTTTTCGAGAGGTGGTTGGGGAAGTGATAAGAACAATCATACCTGTATTATGGCTACGTTGTTACCTCGTCCAATATCTTCCATAAGAAAAAAAACCAACATAATTTGACCTAGGGGCGGGCGGGTAGCCTAGTGGTTATAGCGTTCTTTCGTCACTCCGAAGACCCACATCGAATCTATTTCTACCCGTTATTTCATATATTCAGCGAATAGGGTCCCGATCCACAAAACGTTCGTAGCGCTACGACATTCGTCAGTCTATGGTAAACTGTAGAGTTACGACAGGTCGTAACGTTGCGAACAGGGACCCTGTTCGCTTAATATATAAAACAACGGGTTATAATAGATTCGATGCGGAACGAAAAACGAAAAGCACTCTGAAGTTACAAATGAGGAGCATGTTCAGAAAACAAAACTTCTGTCGAATTGTTGCAAGTCTACTTATTGCACACGAAGACGGCCTTAGTACAAATAATAGAGGGCCTTCACATTCCACGTCATGCTTCCCTGTACTATGCATGTTACATAAGGGGTAAGGAATGCAACTTGATATATCTACAGCCATATCAAATAAGACCTGGCATCCCTGGTGTTTTCCTTTGGACACGTGTAAGTTTATTTAAGCATTGTTCAGCCTCCAATACAGGTGTGAATGTATAAATAATTCAGCGCTAACACATTAGGTCCGGAACATAAATATATCCTGCAGCCAGCGAGATAATTTGAGCCATATCAGAGCGCGAAGGTCCCGTATATATACAGTTCAATAGATGGTATATTTGGATCCCAATTCCGCAACAGGATCCTACTTTTATATCAACCGCCACATGTGTTGCACCTCCGTTGCTACGTAACGCGTGATGCATTGTTTGTTGATTTTTCCCGAACAGCCGTCTCATGTGCAGACTACCAGTTTGTGTGGACGGCAAGTAGGCTGTTGAAGTGAGTGACGCACGCATCCTATGACGTCAGCCTAGCCTATTATGACGTCAAAACTATTCAAACCACGTGCACGTTTTCACATCACAGTTGTATCTCAATCTAGTTTTTTCTTTATTCTCTTTATTTACTATATTGTTAGAACTAAGTTTCTAAATCTATTTATGCTATGGTTTATTCTAATTCAGATGCAAAGAATATACGGGTTATGCAACATTTAACAAGAACACAACACATTAAGTTATTTTAGTTCTTTCCAATTTTAATTTCTTGCTTGACGAATGTCACAGATGTTACGAATATTATATAAACGTAAAGGGATAGTGTTTGCATGATCACACACTGTTAAACGATTTTTTACACTTTTCTTGTGTGACTGAGTGAGTGAGTTTAATTTTACGCAGCACTCAGCAATATTCCAGCTATATGGCGGTGGTCTGTAAATAATCGAGTCTGGGCCAGACAATCGAGTAATCAACATCATGAGTATCGATCAGCGCAATTGGGAACGGATGACATGTGTGAACCCAGTCAGCGAGCCTGACCACCCGATCCCGTTAGTCGATTCTTACGACAAGCATGGGTTACTGAAGATCAATATTCTAACCCGGACCTTCACGGGTCTTTTCTTATGTCTTGTGTTCTTGTAAGGATCCGCTGATGGTGGATTCAAACACAGGAAATGCGCTATATGTGTTATCCTTGGTTTGTTGGGACCATACCCACGGTCGTTGGTTAGACCGACGTGTTAGCAGACATGTCCCCGCCTCCTGAGGTTATTGCAAGGTCTCTACCCCATGAATATCCGGATTAAAATTTGTCCTCAACAACCCATGCTTGTCGTAAGAGGCGACTAACGTGATTGGGTGGTCAGGCTCGCTGACTTGGTTGCCACTGTATGCTAAATTGCTTTAGATCGATGCTCATGATGTCAACCCATGGTTTGCCTGGTCCAGACTCGACTATATACAGACCACCATCATCTCCCCGAGCCAACCAGATAGCCATTAAGTGTCTTTCGTATTACCCAAAGAGCAAGTTAAGCATTAAGTGGACACGTTACATCATTTTGTTTTCTTGAAGATGCATGCGCGTTCACCAAATATACCAGTAGTATGTAACGCGAATAGAAATAATCCATAGGGGAATCTTCTGTTCCTATTTCGGACGCTGAAAATGCAAACCATCTGCATCAACTGCTGAAAAGCTTTCGTCATCCCAAACAAAAAATGTTCGGAATCGGCGTTCATTTCCTGAAAGTATACACTATGTTTTATGGTGGCTGAAAATAGACAAGCATGAAATGGTTATTTAGTGGTGATGTATTTGGACCTGATGTCATAGTTTTGAACCCTATACACTCAACATGTTTTAGCAAATACTTTCAGCCTTGTAACGTTTTGATAATGTTTCTAATTTTGGGACAAATCCAATGTTCAAATGTACTGTCTTTTTGGTCGATCTACATCGTCAGGTGTAAACTGGTGGATGTCACCAAGAATATTAACATTTTGCTGGAAACCCAGAGATTCTTATCTAAATGGATTTTTTATAGATTAAAACACCCGTGAAGATCTGGGTTAGAACTAATCTTCAGTAACCCATGCTTGCGGCTAACGGGATTGGGTGGTCAGGTACGCTGACTTGTTTGACACATGTCATCGTATCCCAGTTGCGTAGATCGATGTTCATGCTGTTGTTCACTGGATTATCTAGTCCAGACCCGATTATTTACAGACAGCCGCCATATAGCTGAAATATTGCCTAGTGCGGCGTTGAACAACAAACAAAACTAAACAAACTGCAGATTACAACAAATATTGGTTGCATCAGCATAATACACTACAGCAGATCAAGCAACCCTTACGTCAGTTTCAATTTGTCTGTATCTGTTTTGCAGGAAGATTCGCCCCAAGACGCCGAAAGGACTCCAAGTTCTACACACTGGTGAAGCTAGTAATGAGCACAGCGTCAGTGGCTGACGACAAGGACTCCGTCAGTTCCTCCTCCATGGAAATGGAGATTAATGAGTTTGCTCGCAGGAACACAGTGCTTAATGACGAAGGGAGCACATGCACCAGTAATGAGAACACTGTCAGCAGTATAAACTTTCTCACCGTGCCCACTTACGACGAATGCCGGTCCGTGTCAGACAACGAAAGCGATAGGGGCGACTCTTCTCGACGAAGCTCCTTTAATGACTATAACTCTGCACCGAAGAAAAAACGAAAAAAGTCCCCAAATCGTGTGAATTTCAAAATACCCTAGAACATATGGGACCTCGTTTTTAGTTACGGACGAAAGATGTGCATTGGACTATTTTGATACAAAAATGACCTCAAGGGGGGAAAAGTTAATTTTAGTGGTTTGTGATGGAATTCCTGTTTGACCATTCCTACGCTTTTAATGTGCTGCTATATTAGAGATAATAAAGCAGGGAAACATTTTATACAAAAACCTACTGATCAAGGAAGGACGTACAAGACTCATTGGCATGATCGTGTAGGTTTTCAAATGCAAGTTAAAACCCGGAAACATATCCATGACAGAAAAAGCATCACAACGTTCTGCATATAACCATGTTTCAGCCTGTAACAGGTTGTGTTTTGGATTACACAGAAAACACATTGTGTACTCATACTATTAATCGGTAATCGGTAATGAGATTTATATTTTGAATCCATGTAAGAAATCGAACCCGAAATTCGCTAGGTGAGAACGCTTTCACTCTTAGGCTACCTCGTTGCCCGCTTCTGAAAGAAAACATGACGCATCTGGAACAAGAGGGAAAATCTATATTAAGATATAAACATAAAACGAATAACATCAAAGTATGCGTAGAATTGGCATGATTTGATGTGTTCAGATCACTACCAACAGAAAAAGGTGGACCTATTTGCAAAAAAAACTACAATTACAAAGTAAATGCATTTTAGCTTTCTTAATGCTTCATTCTGCCATTTACAAAGCATACCATAACGCAAATGCGTTTTGGAGCCCAATTTTCAGGAGGATCGCCAGACATAAATCGATTGTTGTCACACGACGTGTGAGCTTGTATGAAATGCCAGAGTTCCAATATCCAGCTAATTGGACATTATAGACTCTGGCCAGATTCGATTCGGCCCCATAGGTCAGCCCGAGTAGCTCATTAGATCCGAGGGGTGTCCGCATGATAAAGACAATAGTACAAGTGCCATACTTGTCAACAGTGCAGAACATAATGTCCTATCCTACTGTGATCTTCCATGGACTGACCCTGGGGCAGAATATAGGTATCAGGATATCGTTACATATCACTATTTTATTGAATGCTTAGGGAAATGTTTTAGTGTATATTATTCTCATATGAATGCTAACTTTTGTAGCAACCCCACATATTTGGATGGAATATTTCACTTTATGCTTAAAGCCTACCACTTTATGCCGTAACCCCGGACGAACATGAGTAACCATTTCATTATTGATCTTGTGACAATCGAAGCTACCACACCGTCGGCGCAGAATGACCTTGAAGTGACGTTACGTCGAAGTGTGTGACCAACCCCCGCCTATATAAGTGTCTGACTGGCTATTGTGCCTTGTTGGAATTCCTCCAGAGCTTGTGGAACTGTTGTTCGTACAAAGTACACAAAACAGCAGGAAAAACATTCCTTCGAATGACATTGTTTTTGATTTGATGAAAACAAAATTGGTTCACACAAATGACAGTCTGAAACAAAAAAGTTACAGTTTGACAATCTCTTCTCGTTTTAGAGTTAGTTTTTGTTGTTGTCGTTTATATTTTCTAAAGAGGTCGGGGGTTGGTAGAATATGGATCCGAGGCTCGAGAATCCTCTTTCATCAAATCAAGACTCTCTGATAACTTCAATAAAATTTGAACGTTTAATTAATTTTACAAGACTTGATAAACCTTAGAAAACCTTTCGTAATTCACGCGTGGTATTCTGATAATTTATAAGCGCACTTGACCAAACGCCAGATGCAGTAACTAGACAGTAGACATATAGACTGGACATGTCCATGACAAGTTATACAATCAAGACACTGATTTTCTATAATTGATGCATAAATTAGACACAATCATCATCCAGTCTGGCTAAAACTAGATGCGGAGTCCACCCAGATTAACATAACCCAGGTGCACTCTTCAGACCGTTATACTGTTCTCATATAAAATGGGTGAGGTCCCAATTCAGCTTGACCGTCATCAGATAGTCTGAACATATAGTAGGTATGGTTATATCCCAAAACTTCCACATCCCAAAACTTCTACATCCCAATAATGCCACACATTGTTAAAACAACAACTCCCCATCACCCCTTTTTAGGTAGTAGGATAGCCCAGGAAGTGCACTGAACTGAAACAACAGATAATGATAGATCACCTGACTTAGCAGAGTAGAAATTTTATTAGAGAAGAGAGCAGTTAGTTAATAAATCAGAAATATATATATAATATAATTTCGTGCATATTTCATGCAGGCCAAAAATGTGAATTTTGTTTTCTTGTTTTACTTTGAAATAGTGATAATTACGTTCATAGTATTCTGAGTATTGAACTTTTATATCATTACTAACTGATGGGTTAAACCATTACAGTGTGTGCAGTCAACCAGAAATGTTGTTATAATGTGCGGGTGAAATCTTGGACACTATAGGACATAAGTTCTATATAAATGCTCTACATAGACTGTTATATGTAACTAGAAAAGATATGTATTTTTGTAAATAACCCTGCTTTTATAAGATATATAATTTATAGCTGAGTGATTGTTTGCATTCATTACTGATTGATGGGTTAAACCATTACAGACTGAGGTAATCAGTATGCTGAAGTGTGTGCAGTGTGTTGTTATAAGCTGTGGAAGTTTTGGGATGTGGGAGTTTTGGGAGGATTCCGTAGGGATACTCACCATACAGTCTAAACATAAACTAGATAAATCGTCATACATTTCAAACACAAGATAGATTAGTCATCATATAATCCAAACATAAGCTAAATACGTCATAATACAATCTAAACATAAATTGAATCAGCCATCATACATCCTATAAACATACTACATGCAGACTTGCAAGAAGGCGTTGCAACTATACGAAATAACAATGCTCATACCATTTTTTCCATTCACAACTTTCCTCAGTGTCTATCTTGGTCAGATCGTTCATTGTTAAACTGCAAAACGTAGGCTCAGGGTAGTAATTTCAACTTCTAAGTCAAGACCATGACATATCGGCTAGAGTTACAGCTCTTGCATGACGTCATGATCTCTGCTAGCAACAGGGATGCGCATAGTGCTCGCCTCCCTTAATATACATTGATCATGACAATTTATAATTACGTAAGGTATATTTTTGTAAATAAGAGGCTAATATATAATGACAAATATGTTTACGGTGTTGATAAGCATGCTGTTTGTAGATATGTACATTGCTATAAAAGTATTTTCCTGTTTATATCACGTACTGGGCCAAAATAGTAGCGAATGAGTGATATTGTATACCTGTTTAAATGTATCTTTAGGATGACAGTACAGGAAGCGTCTTTGTCCTCGCTGCGCCGGATATGTAGTTCTGCTCGGATATGCTAACGAATATGTTAACCGTCCCGGATATGCTGAATATGTCAACGAGCCTGGATGTGTTGCTGAAGTATTAATTGATTCGGATGATGTGATGATTTGTGAACTCGATGTGATACCTGATACCATGTTCCAGACAAGCTGATGAATATGTTACCACGCCAGGATTCGCTGAAGAAAGTGTTGACGTGATAGTTTTTAGGATTTACTAAAACGTGGGTGATGATGTCAACGAAATTGGCCAACCGCATCGGATATGCTGTAACAGGATAACGACATCTCCATCAGATATACTCTCAGCTACACACCAGAGACTATGATACCCTGTCAGCTACTGGAATGACCATGTGATATATCTTGCTCCGGATATCCAAAAGATGTCCCAATTGACCCGAATTTGACGAAGGATATCTTCTGTTATCGTGATAGGATCAGTGATATTTTCAGTTACTTGGATATACTGAGATATACCTGAAGAGAACCACAAACTGTATATATCATGTTTGATATATCCAATGAACCAATTCAGGGAAATGAGTGAAGCGAAACAGCTATGTTGTTAGATGTTGTGCTGTTTTGTACATATGACAACAATTGTTTCTAAACCTGTTTTGTGCTGTTTGTACATTTCCCAAACATAAATGTAAATATTATATTGATGCAAAGAACACCGTTGTAGCTAACCTATTTCTTTTGGGCAACACTTATTTCTTAATGTCGTTATTTTCAGGTAAAGCCACAGAAATTATCATGCATGTGATATACATATATCTACACTAGTGGGTTAAGTGAAGTCACCATCAACATCAGTGTTTTGTTACTGACCAGCGCCGTGTCTGTACTAGGATGTTTTAACTTGTAACTCACTGACTTTAAACGAAACCTGCTTGATATTCGAAAAGTCTATTATGATTTGAAATAGCTTTGAGGTGGGGAATCAGATGTTTGAGAAACAATATGTCTAAGCATGATGAGGGACAGTATATCAGGTCGCTTAGTGGTTTAGCGCTTGATCGTGACTCCGAAGACCTGGGATCAATTCATCACAGTTACAATGTCTGGTGTCCCCCGCCATGATTCTGCTGGAATATTTCTAAAAGCGGCGTAGAGTTACACTCACTGTGGTTGGGAGCTCCCATCGAAAATGAAGAGAATTAACTGAAGAGGCACGTTTAAGGATTAACGCCTTACCAGGTTACTATTATTTGTATGTTTAAGGAGAGCTTCTGATTAGGTAGGCATATACACTTACATGTACGGTGAAACCAACGAGCAAGGGTGTGGTATTGGCATGAATGATCCGAGCTCATGACAACCGGACCCGCACTGGTTATATTATTGGAGAGGACAATATTATTTCGAGAGAAAAGTGGCGTCGACATGTTCATGTTTCATAAATATCTTTTATTTACTGCGAGTTTACGTGTCTGAAATGCTATTTCTCCACCATAAATTGATGTTAATTGGACATTCGTGAAAGTTAAGGGTTTCATCAGTAATTTATGTTCACAATGAAAACCTGTATCATAAACTAATGCATGATTCAATCCCTGTTACAAGTTATAATTCCTTTCAGCTGTGTTACTATATATAGTGAGACCACGTGGTCCACGTTAAGGTGATGTATTGGTCAACAGTGATGTCATGTCAGGGTGAGCCTCGTTGTCGTGTATACTAAAACGAGGCTCTGCTAATGTCTGTGATGATTCTCAGTAGCTGTTTAATGTACTGTACGAGTAGAGATATTCAGTTGGTCAGTTGTGCAAGCCCTTGTTATCAAGAGTATATGATCAGCACCACGCGTGTCTGATTATTGTTGAATGCAAATGAGACATATTTTTTCATGTATGTTGATGTAGAATACATTACAATGGTACTGTTTGGCTATATTTGTTTGACCAAAACCATATACATGATGAACGAATTGTAAAAACCATGGTAACTGATGTTATAGATTATAACATGCAATGTTATATATTCACAACACATCAAATACACGGCAAAGTGTATTTAATTTCTGTGTATTTTTATGTTTTTGATCATCTTATTCAATTTTTGGGTAATATGATAATTAAGGTAAATGGAACATTGTTTACTTTCTTTTTTTGGTAGACGTTTATTGAATGTATTTCTAAGAATGTCTTGTAACAAAACTGTTTGGTCGGAATAGTGCCACGACGGTACCATTGCTGTTATATATATTATTAGATATATTAACTGTGTTGAGTTTACTTTGGTTATAAGGTTTGATCACAGTTGAAACATCTGTCGTTGCAATAAAATGAAAACAATTGACCTTTCTTTGTTATATTGATTGATTTATCACCTTGGACATTTGATACGACACCAGTTCGCATTATCACAAAACATGTTTTAATATTTATGTTTATTTTGAGGTTGATGTCTTCCTACTGGATGTAAGATGTATTAAATATGTACGTATTTAAGCTAATATTAAATATTGTTTGGCTATTATATTTCCCAGACAGTATTCGTCGTTGCAGTGTCTAATACTGTCCTGAATGAATGACACGTGGCCTGAGAATATATCTTTCAGACAGCATTGACCGTCCAAAAGCGCATCATTTTGCTAAGACAGTCACATACACATCCATTATACTTCAAGACAGAAATGACTGCCAAAGGACATCCGCTACACTTTGAAAAAGTGATAACATTTCATAGTTGTATCTCATTTTACAGTAGTGGCCATCCTACTCACATCGTCGTGGAATCTCTGCTGTACTATAAGACAATAATGTACGTCAGTGCAGGCCATATTGGAATCTCTGTTGTACTTTAAGTCATTAATGAACGTCAGGACAGATCATATTGGAATCTCTGCTGTACTTTAAGACAGTAATGAACGTCAGTACAGGTGATATTGGAATCTCTGTTGTACTTTAAAACAGTAATGAACGTCAGAGCAGATCATATTGGAATCTCTGCTGTACTTTAAGACAGTAATGAACGTCAGAGCAAATCATATTGGAATCTCTGTTGTACTTTAAGACATTAGGGAATGTCAGAGCAGATCATACTGGAATCTCTGCTGTACTGTACGACACCATTTTGTTAAGCTAGTAAGTCACAGCCACACTGTAGTATCTGCTAAATCCCAAAACAATGACAGTCATTCCACGTGGTGGGATCTTTCCTGTTCTGTGCAGTAATGAATGTCAAAGCAGATCATTGTTGGATCTCTCCTATACTTTAAGACA